ATATATACCCACATATATATATATATATATAACATTAAAGCAATTAGTATTATTTCAGTTAATAAAAATAATATTTTACAGTATTATTAAAACAAGTTATTATCATAGGTGTCATCATTTGTACATTACTACTATATTTAACATTAATTATATTTATTTTGTGTTCGCCTCTTTCACAACATCTTTGAATAGATATGTTACAACTATACATCCATTAACATTATAAGTGTTCATAATTCTTCGAAGGAGTACTTCCCGTACGATCACAGAAATGAAGTATGATAAGTGGAGGTTGGATGGGTGATCGCGCATGGGGGTGTATCATAAAATTAGTTCTCGAATTCATAAAATAAATTTTTTTTTATTATAATTTTGTCGTATATCCTCTGACATATGATGCTAATCAATAATACTTATTTTCACAATAAAATTTCAATGAAACTTTAATGAAATTTTCTCCATCACTATTATTCTATTAGTGACACTACTTGTCGAATTTACTTAATGCATTAGTGACACTAGTAATATATTTTTATGCTGACTAGATCAATTCAATTTTATTTCCAACTCGAAAATTAATTGGAGCCAAAAATCCATCGAAATCAATAGAAATTTCGAAAACTTTCAACTTTTATTTTCGATATCTTTTCGAGAAATTATTTCTAACTGAGGTGTTCCCCATTTTAGAGTACCAGGTATGTAAATATGAAATCGGAATTTACCAATAGATGGCCATAGCTGTCAATGTAGTTGTCAGACGGCGCCATTGACGCCATTTCCTTGTTCTGACAAAGATTTTCAACTCACAACAATACAAGTTTCATACAACAGTATAATTTGTAATAGCGTTGAACATGTCGAATTTTGTGCCTGGAAATTACGATTTGCGGACAGCATTGATTTTCTGTTATCATTTGAAAAAACTGCTGCAGAATCGCATCGGATGCTTGTCGAAACTTACGGTGAGCATGCTCTTGGTAAATCACAGTGCTTTGAGTGGTTTAAAAAATTCAAAAGTGTGATTTTGACATGAGAAACGAAGAACGTGGAAAACCACCGAAAAAGTTTAAAGACAGCGAATTGTAATGGATGACACTCAAATTCAACAACAACTCGCGGATCAATTGTGACACGAGAAGAGCTGTCTCCATACGTTTGAAATCCATCCAGGGAAAGATCCAGAGAAAGATCCAGAAGTTAGGAAAATGGGTTCATGAATGGAAGACAGCAGGAAAACCAAAAAACCACTTGCGAAATGCTGCTCGCCAGGTACAAAAGAAAGTCATTTCTCCATCGAATTGTGAACTGGCGATGAAAAGTGGATATATTTTGAGAATCCTAAGCGTAAAAGATCATGGGTAATTCCAGGCGAACCATCGACATCGACTGCAAGCCCAAATCGCTATGGACGGAAGAGAATGCTCTTTGATGGGATCAGAAAGATGTGATCTATTATGAGCTGCTAAAACTTGGCGAAACCGTTAATACTGAATGGTACCGACAACAAATAATCAATTTGAATCAAGCTTTGTGTGACCGGAATATCAAAAAAGGCAACGCAAAGTGATTTTGCTTCATGATAATGCATTATCACACACAGCAAAACTGGTCAAGGAAACGATTGAGGCATTTGGTTGAGAAATACTTTCGTATGCGGTTTACTCACTAGACTTGGCTCCGTCTGATTACCACTTATTTACATCGATGGGATACGCACTTGCTCAGCAGTGCTTCACTTCTTACGAAGATGTACGAAAATGGCTAGATGACTGGTTTAGCTCAAAAGAGCAACAATTTTTTTTGGCGTGGCATCCACAAATTGTCAAACAGGTGGAAAAAATATATAGCTACCGATGGGCAATACTTCGAATAAAATATTTTTTATCATTTTCAATAAACATTTGCAATAAACGTGTATTTTCTATAAAAAAATTCCGGTTTCATATTTACGTACTTGTATATCCACAAAAATTTACATAGCCGTATAACATATAAAGAAAATTATCCAATCGCATTTCTCTTATAAGGACGTAAAATGTGATTGGATAATTTTTGTTATGCATACGTTTATGCGACTATGCAAGTTTTTGTATGGATATACCCTATTTAATTGATTCGCTTATGCACTATGCGTTATGTGTTATGCAAAAGTATGCTGCCTTAAGCCGATTCTACATTAGTTGCAAGCTGATCGCAAATTTGTTGCCGATCTGAAGCTTGCATTTTGAAATTAACGCTTCATATTGGCTGTCGTAACAAACTTGTAATCGGTTTGCAACTAATGTAGAATCGATTTAAGGCAGCGGGGAGCACGCGGAAAAAAAAGAAATAAAGAACTTTGGTTTATTTTCTTACGCATTATGTATTATATGCTTTAGGCAAGAGTCTGTTTTAAGAACTTCGAGACACATAAAATGCATAATGCAGAGCATAAGCATAATATAAGGCTACTAAACCAATGAATATCTTATGTAAATAAATATGGAGACATTATGTTAGATGTTCGTTGATCCAGCAGTTTTATATAGGGTATATCCACAACTTGTATAATCGCATAAACGTATGCATAAAGCAAATTATCCAATCGCATTTCTCCTACAAAGATGCACATAAAATGTGATTGGGTAATTTGCTTTATAGGGCCACATAAACTTGTGTAGCCGCTAAATATATGCATAAAGAAAATCATCCAATCGTATTTTACATTTGTCTTTATGACAGAAATGTAATTGAATAATTTTCTTTATATATATATGGTTATGTAACTATGCAAGTTTGTGTGGAATGGCCCTTAAGCCGGAATTCGCAGTAGTAGTAGGTAGTACATTTCGCTTGTTTGCTTCTGTCTTTTCGTAAGTTCTAATAGTCTTCCGCTTTTCCGCTTTCCGTTTTTCCGTCAAGGTATGAATCCGACCTTATGTTATGCTTATTCTCTTATTATGAATTTGATGTGTGAAGGCTCTTTAAGCCTGTCACACATGAAATGCATAACAGAACATAAGCATAACGTAAGACTGCTGGACTAATAAGTATCCAGCACAATGTCTCCATATTGGGCGAGTTCAAGATGGCAGAGCGACTAGGCATGCTTACCGAGTGATTGAATATGTTTGGTTGGATCTATAAGTATAATAACTAATTATGCTCATTTGCTAGGCAAGTAGGCTAGCCGCTTTGTTAACTTGAACGCGCTCAATGATTTACATAAGATATTCATTAGTTATTGGCCGATTAATAATAGACAATCGCAATAAAACTGATCTCAATGGCTGCGTTCAGCGAATTCAATAGTTGAGTCCGCTAAACGTAGCCATAGCAATCGGCTTAACGAGCATCAATTAATCGATGTTCGATTCGATTATACTTATAGAAATTCGATTTTTCTTATTAAATATTCATATTCGAATAATTCTGTTATTTTCTTTTAATCAATCTTATACATATTTTATTATGCAATTGATTAGCATGTACAGAATAGGAGGAACTAATTTTACTGCTTAAATAATATACAAATAAATTTTCAATTACTCAGAAATACATAATATTGCATTTATTCTTTAAAGCAGTTCACAAATATAATATATGTATATGATCAACATAATTTTAGTATCAATTTATAAGAATAATAAAGA